GGGGACTTAGTGACGTTTTGCAGAAACAGAAAAACCCATATGGAATCTCAAGGGATTCTAAGTAGCCAAAACAAACTTGAAAAAGAACAAAGCTGGAGGGCTCACACTTCCTGATGTCAAATTGATTACAAAGCTACAGTAATCAAAACCTTTTGGTACAAATAGACACATACAAACCAATGGAACAGACTACAGCCCAGAAACAACCTTTCTCATATACAAGCAAATAATTTTTGACAAAAGTGCTAAAACCATTCAATAGAGAAAGGACAGTCTTTTAAACAAATGGTACTAGGAAAATCTGGATATCTACATGTAAAAAAATGAAATCTGACTCTCACCTATATAAAAATTAAATCAAAATGGATCAAAGATTTTTAATGTAAGATCTAAAACTATAAAACTCCTAGAAGAAAACAAAGAAAAATCTTCATAACATTAGATTTGGCAATGTTTCTTGAATATGACACCAAAGGCACAGGCAACAGCAAAAATAGACAAATTGGACTTCATAAAAACTTAAGGTTTTTAATGCACCAAAAGACAGTAGTTTCAGCTACTCAAAGGCTAAGGCAAGAGGATCTCTTGAGCCCAAGAGTTTGAGGTTACAGTGAGCCATAACAATGGAACTGCACGCTATTAGAGTGCAGGCAATAGAGTGAAATCCTGTCTCAGGGGAAAAAAAAAGAACAGAGCAAAAAGGCAACCCATAGAATGGGAAAAAAATTGCACATCATGTATCTGAGAAAGGATTAATATCCAGAATATATAGAGAATCCCTAAAATTCAAAAAGAAAACAATCCAATTAAAAAATGGGCAAAAAAATAGTTATATCTAGGCCAGGTAGGTGGCTCACACCTGTAATCCTAGCATTCTGAGAGGCTAAAGTGGGTGGATTGCCTGAGCTCACAGTTTTGAGACCAGCCTGAGCAATTGCAAGGCCCTTTCTCTAAAAATTAGCCAGGTATTGATGTGGGCACCTGTCGTTTCAGCTACTTGGGAGGCTAAGGCAAGAGAATTGCTTGAGCCCAAGAGTTTGAGGTTGCTGTGAGCTGTGACACCACAGCACTCTATGGAGAGCAACAAAGTCAGACTTTGTTTCAAAAAAAAAGAAAAGAAAAAGAAAGAAAAGAGAAAAGAAAAAAGAAGAAAGATCTTATATCAACACACCTTAACTCTACAACTTGAGCCAGAAATAGAAGAGAGGCTCAGTGCCTATAGTTCAACAGCTAGGGTGCCAGCCACATACACCAGGGCCGGTGGGTTCAAACCTAGCCCGGGCCTGCCAAACAACAGTGACAGCTACAAAAAAATAAAAATAGAAGAGCTCTGTTCCTTTTCCCTTTTTTTTTTTTTTCTGAGACAGAGTTTCACTCTATCTCCTGGGCTAGTAGAGTGCAGTGGCATTGTTATGGCTCACTTAAACCCAAAGCCAGCAGAAGGAAGGAAATAAGCAAACCTAGAGTAGAGAAAAACAAAATAGAGAAAAGAAAAATAGAGGGGGAATCAATAAAACTAAAAATGGGTTCTTTGAAAAAAAAATCAACAATATTGATAAAACTTAGTTAGATGAAGTAAGAAAAAACAAGAGAAAACTCAAATTACTAAAATTAAAAATCAAAGTAGGGACATTACTATTTGCTCTATAAAAATAAAAAGAAAGCTGAGGGTGGCTCAGCGCCTATAGCTCAGCCACTAGGGCTCCAGCCACATACACAGGAGCTGGCAGTTTCAAACCCAGCCCGGGCCTCCCAAACAACAAAAATATAGCCGAGCGTTATGGCAGGAACCTGTCATCCCAGCTACTTGGGAGGCTGAGTCAAGAGAATCTCTTAAGCCCAAGAGTTAGAGGTTGCTGTGAGCTGTGATGCCAAAGCACTCTTCTGAGGGTGACATCATGAGACTCTGTCTCAAAACAAAACAAAACAAAACAAAAATTACAAATAGAATTATCATATTCATATGATCCAGTAATTTCACTTTTGGATAAATACCCAAAAGAACTGAAACCAGAGTTTTGAAGAAATATTTGGTTTTGGGGGGTTTTTTTTGAGACAGAGCCTCAAGCTGTTGCCCTGGGTAGGGTGCTGTGGCATCACAGCTCACAGCAACCTCCAACTCCTGGGCTCAAGCGAGTCTCCTGCCTCTGCCTCCCAAGTAGCTGGGACCACAGGTGCCTGCCACAATGCCTGGCTATTTTTTTTTGGTTGCAGCCATCATAGTTGTTTGGTGGGCCCAGGCTGGATTCAAACCCACCACCTTAGGTGTATGTGGCTGGCGCCTTAGCCACTTGAGCCACAGGTACCGAGCCGAAGAGATATTTGTAGACCCATGTTCACAGAAGCAGTATTCACAAAAAGCCACAAAAGCAACTCAAGTATCCATTAACAGATTAATGGATAAAGCTGAATGGGGTACACAGGTATAGGATTATATGTATACACCACATTTAGCCTTAAAAAATAAATCCTGACATATGTTACAACATGGATGAAACTTGAGGACATTAACTTTGTCACTAGATGATAAATAACTGTATTATAATTCCATTTATATGAAGTACTTAAGGTGGTCAAAATCATAGTAGAATGGCAGTTGCCAGGAGTTGGCAGGTGAAGGAAATGGGGAATTATTATTCAATGGGTATAGAGTTTTAGTTTTTCATGATGAAAGAGTTATGGAGATGGATGGTAATATTAGGTTGAAGAATGTGCCACTAGCAAGTGACCCCAGAATCTGAAAGCACTTTACCTAGGCTGGCAAAAAAGAGGAAGTTACACAGCTATGCAGGCAATCAGCAAGTTCTATTTTATCAGAAGACAGAACACACTTAAGTTTATAAACACAAAGAACACACCTAAGTTTATAAGCAGACAGAACACACCTGGGAGGTATGGGTCTCTTCCTCACAAATGAGGAAGATAATTAGGGACTAAATACAAGGGAAAAGTTTGTAATGGGTTCTTTGAAGAGCCCATTACAAACTTTTCCCTTGTATTTAGTCCCTAATTCCTAGCACATTCCACCTAATGTTCATGCATTATGGGAAGTATCAACTGCCTTTCGGAAAAATCTCATTTTCCTCTTCTATTTACTAATTGGTTCACTTAGGGTATAGGTTAAGCAGACTCCATAGTATCCTTAACTTCCCATCAAAAAATTCAGATTAGCTGGGCATGGTGTCGCATGCCTGTAATCCTAGGACTCTAAGAAGACAAGGCTGGTGGACCGCTTGAGCTCAGGAGCTCAATACCAACTAATCAGGCATAGTGGCAAGTGCCTATAGTCCCACTACCAGGAAGGCTGAGGCAAGAGGATTGCTAAAGGCCAGGAGTTTGAGGTTGTGAGCTAGGACACCAGAGTTCTCTACCCAGGGTGACAAAGGGAGACTCTGTCAAAAAAAAAAAAAAAAAAATCTACCCCAGAGGGTGCCTGTAGACTTGAGCCTAGGAGTTTGAGGTTGCTGTGACCTACGAAGCCACAGCACTCTAGCCTGGGCAGAGTGAGACTTTGTCTCAAAAATAAATAAATAAAGGCGGTGACCGTAGCTCAGTGAGTAGGGTGTTGGCCACATACACCAAGACAGGCAGGTTCGAACCTGGCCTAGGCCAGCTAAAACAACAATGACAACTGTAACAACAGCAAAAAAAAAAGCTGGGTGTTGTGGCAGGCACCTGTAGTCCCAGCTACTTGGGAGATTGAGGCAAGAGAATCACTTAAGCCCAAGAGTTTGAGGTTGCTGTAAACTATGACCAGGGCAAAGCTTGAGGCTCTGTCTCAAAATAAATAAATAAATAAATAAATAATAAATAAAAGTTCCTATTGATCAATCCCTTTGTGGGGGCCTTAGAAGTTTCTGAACTTAAATCTTTCCACCTGAAATCTCTGCTACTTCTGCTGAGAACAGGCTATCTTCCCTACCCTGTTCATGCCTGTCTGATTTTGTTTATTCTTACTCCCCACCTTTTGTCTTCTTTTCTCACCCTGTTCCCTGTCTGTCCCTAAAACTCCCTAAGTTTAGGGAGCTTAGCAGTTACAGACCAGCCTGAGCAAGAGTCAGAATATATCTCTACTAAAATGCAAAAACTAGCCTGGCATGGTGGTGCACACCTGTAGTCCCAGCTAGTAGGGAGGCTGAGGCAAGAGGATCACTTGAGCCCGACAGTTTGGGGTTGTGAGCTATGATGATGACATGGCACTCTACCCAGAGCAACAGAGTGAGACTGTCTCAATAAATAAATAAATAAATAAATAAAATCAGGGGAAAATGGAGGGGGTTTGAGAGGGGGATCAGAAAAATGATCAGCAGCTAAATCATATAGGAGTCTATAAACTTCAACCCGTAGATTAAATCTAGCTCTTGTCTTGTAAAAATTTATGAACAACTGGGCGGTGCCTGTGGCTCAGTGGGTAGGGCACTGGCCCCATATACCAAGGATGGCGGGTTCAAACCCAGCCCCAGCCAAACAGCAACAAAAAATAGCCAGGTGTTGTGGCAGGCACCTGTAGCCCCAGCTACTCGGGAGGTTGAGGCAAGAGAATCACCTAAGCCCAAGAGCTGGAGGTTGCTGTGAGCTGTGATGCCACGGTACTCAACGAAGGGGGACAAAATGAGACTCTCTTAAAAAAAAAAAAAAAAAAGGGAAATTAAAGAAAGTAAAAGCACACAGAAAAGGTAATATTGCCTAGCTTTTAACAACCAAAGTAATTCAAAATGTTGTATTTGTTATGTGCACTACTAATTTAAAAAAAACTTCAAAACAAATAACCACTAACAAAAGCCCCAGAGTGCGACTGGTGTCATTGGCTAGATGAAAGGTTACCAGCAAATTTCCTATCTGGCACCTAGTTTAAAAACCTAGTCATCACCTTTGATCTCTCTAACTCAAGTGACAAAAGCAGAGTAAACCATAACCTAAGATTGTTGATACAGGTTTTTTTCAAATATATTTTAATTTTAAAATACTTTTAAATTTTTACAAAAGTTGCCAGAGTGACTTCTAACAGAAGAAACATAAATACGCAAAATATACATACACCAATAAACTGTGAGGAGCCTCTAAAAAATTGGGTAAATCAACCTTTTACTTAAGCAACAATTTCCACAAGTATGTTCTTCCTGTAGTAGTTCATTTTAAAATTGGGAAGTTGGCTCAGCACCTTCCCAACAGGCTAAGGCACCAGCCACGTACACCTGAGCTGGCAGGTTCGAATCCAGCCTGAGCCCGACGAACAACAACGACAACTATAACCAAAAAATAGCCCAGCATTGTGGTGGGCACCTGTACTCCCAGCTACTTGGAAGGCTGACGCAAGAGGATTACTTAAGCCCAAGAGTTTGAGGTTGCTGTGAGCAGTGACACCACCACACTCTACCCAGGGTGACAGCTTAAGACTCTATGTCCAAAAAATAAAATAAAATAAAATAAAATAAAATAGGGAAGTAACATGGAAAACAAGGAAGCATTGAACATGCTTTCACTCCCCATCCCTCCAAATCTGTCTCTTTTGATCTAACAAACAGGCAAATGAAATGGAAAACCAATTTGCAGCACAACCAGATACCTACACCAGCTTAAGTTGTCTTGATCTTTTAAAAACACAAATTCATTTTATAACTTAATTTTTAATGTTTAAATACAGAGATGTTTACTTATTTAGTATTAGGTAAATACTGCATCTAATATAAAAACCCAGGTGATGGAGAAGTACTAAACTATCTGCAAGTATTCAGCCTTATTTCCAATCTGACAAACTACATGAAGTAGCATATAAACATGACACCTAAATCTTCATCGACAATGGCTAAAAAAGAATGCATTCCCTGGTAAGAATAATGATCAAATTCTTCTAAATAGCAGTTTGACTATAATGTCTAACACAAACATCCTTTTTTTCTCCTGAAAGACATTAATTTACTCCTCACAGCAACCTGGTGTCATTTTTTTTATCGAACACAGGAAACCAAGAAACAAGCTCGGTACCCTCAGAAAATGCAAACAAAATCCTCTTCTCAGACCGCGCAAGAGGTACCCAAGTCGCAAAGCCCAAAGCCAACTTGTGCCTACCTGCATCTTACCACCACCTGGATATTCCTCCCCTTCTCCTCTTTCTTCTTTGCGCAGGAATTTGGTTGGGACGCCATGACTGTCCCGGCCAAAACTCAAGGCCTGGCCGAGGATTTGGGCGCTGTGGAGCGCGGAGTAACTTCACCGCCGACAATGGCCCAGGTGCCCACCTCCCCTGCCGGGTGCTGGTGTGGCTGGGTGTACCGAGGCTCGCTGCTCGGCGTCCCCGCAGTCCACTCGTGACTCTGGCCGTGGAGCCTGCCCCTGTTAGCCGAAACAGCCAAATCACCGATCAAGTCTCCGCTCAAGCTAGAAACCGAGCAACGGAGCTGCGCCCGCCTCAATTTGAAAAAAGGAGCCGCGTGTCCCGACCAATGGCAGAGTTGGCGCACGCAAAGCACCATGGGACTCGCGTAGTCCCCGAAGCCGCGCCCTCCGGGCGTGGCCCGCGGGAGCGTGAAAAGCTGGTAGGTAGGTCTGCGTCCGGCCGCGGCCGAGACGCGTAGATGCGGCGTGACCCTTCTGCGTGGGTTTGCTCCGGTTACATGATGTTTTTGAAACAAAATTCCAAAAATCTGCAAAATGAAAATAGTAGTAACCGTCTCAGAGGGTTGTGGTAAAAATTAATGAGCTTCTGCCGGTAAATAGATTAGAATATACAGTGGACTCGTTCGAACCGGCCCCGGCCAAAGAACAAAAAATAGCCGGGCATTGTGGCGGGCGCCTGTAGTCCCAGCTACTCCGGAGGCTGAGGCAAGAGAATCACCTAAGCCCAAGAGCTGCAGGCTGCTGTGAGCTGCGACGCTACGGCACTCTACCCACGGCAACAAAGTCAGACTCTGTCTTTGAAAAAAAAAAAGAATCTCCATTTGATAATAGATAAAACTACCATTTATGTAGGGTTTACTTTGTGTCAGACCCTATGCTAAAGGCTTTGCGTGCATGATTTCATTTAATCCTCAGAACAACTTTTTGGAGTAGGTACTATTATTTCCTTTCTTCTTTTTTCTTTTGAGACAGAGTCTCACCCTCAGTAGAGTGCTGTCCTGTCGCACCTCACAGCAACCTCAAACTCTTGGGCTTAAGCGATTCTCTTGCCTCAGCCTCCCAAGTAGCTGGGACTCTAGGCGCCCGGCTACCTTTTCGTTGCAGTTGTCGTCATTGTTTGGCAGGTCCAGGCCAGGTTCAAACTTACCAGCTCCCATGTGTGTGGCTGGTGACCTAACTGCTGGGCTACGGACGTTGAGCCGGTACTATTATTTTCCACTGTTTTTTGTTTTTATGAGACAGTCTCACTTTGTTGCCTTTGGTATAGTGCTGTGGTGTCACAGCTCACAGCAAGCTCAAATTCCTGGGCTCAAGGGATTCTCTTCCCTCAGCCTCCGGAGTAACTGGGACTACAGGCACCCGCCAGAACGCCCAGTTATTTTTAAAGATGAGGTCTCACTCTTGCTCAGGCTGGTTTCAAACCTGTGAGCTCAAGCAATCCACCTGCTTCAGCCTCTCAAAGTGCTAGGATTACAGACGTGCGCCACCACACCCAGCCTATTTTCCACTATTTTATTAGTAAACAGGCCAACTAGATACATTGTCTGCAGTCATTCTTTCCAATTCCAACCTCAGGCTATTAACTGTTGTTTTCCCGACCTAATTTTTTTGTTTGCTACATTTACTTTTATCATACCCTTATTGAGTACTTGCTGTGGGCCCAGCAATGAATACATAGGCTAAATTATTGAACTTGCCCTCTTGACAAAGTTAATGGAAATAGCCAGGTTCTTATGGACATTTGTAACAGTTTTGTTGCACTAAGCAGGTGGCTATCTCTGAAATGTCATTTTACATTGCCTTTGTAGAGCTCAGACTACTTAGGCTAATAAACAAAAGTCTTAAAAGTTTGCCCACAATTATAAATGACTTTTAATTCTTTAATAGTAGTTCACCTGGATTGTACCAATGCAACATCACTGCCTGTGTTCAATCTGGCATTTCTCTTTCAAGAGTGTGTATTGCTGGCTCAGCACCTGTAGCTCAAGCGGCTAAGGCACCAGTCACATACACCAGAGCTGGTGAGTTCAAATTCACCCCAAGTCTGCCAAACAATGACAACTGCAACCAAAAAAATAGCTGGGTGTTGTGGAGGGTGCCTATAGTCCCAGCTACTTGGGAGGCTGAGGCA